TCTATTTGCATTTTTTTTTCCTGGAGAGGGTGAGGCATGGGGCTTTCATCAAAGGGATCGATGACACCCCCCCCAAAGGGTGAGAAACCATTGGCTTTGATGAGTGTCAGAGAACCTATCCAGCTGGAGGACAACCGTCCGTTTCCGAATCGTACCCAGGAACCCTATTCCTCTGATCGTTCCAAACCACTGATATTGAGGATCTGAAGCGAAGAGGAGCCGTTTCCATCAGAGGACCAGATTGAGAGTCTAAGAGGGATGGATTAAGCTCCAGGGTCTCAGTTTCCTACACTTGTCCTCGGTGGACAAAGAGTGGTGGGTTTCTCTGTTCCTTGGTAGTTAGTGATAGACGACTAGGGCTTTTCGTTAAGCGTGCATGACAGATGGGAAAGAAGGCCCTGACATCTACCACACTGGACTGGCGTGACCCACCGCTTGGTGCTCATTCCTGCACTTCTTCCCTTCCTTAAAGCAAAGGTTAGACTGCCTCACCAGAGATTTGATAGCACAGTGATCAGCTTCCCGTAGGCTCCTGCATGGTTTCGCTGTCAAAACCTAAAGTACTTGGTTTTTGTTGTTCCTCGGTTGGATTTCTGTCCACCTTTTCTCTCCCCAAATGGGAACCAAATCAGCTCAGAATGCTACTAAGTGCAAGAATAGAATTCAAATGTTATAATTCCCGTCATTCTTAGCTTTGGGGGGGCGGGTTTCAGAGGTGGTGGTGGTTTTTTTTAACCAAGCTTTCTCAGTCTGCTTTCCAGGAATCCTTTGCCAAGAAGGGCTAGACTTCCTGCCTGTTTTTCTTTGCCGGCTTTTCTTCCTTCATTCCTAGGGGACTTTGCAAGCTGTCTACACCCTTTCTCCTGCGTGACGATTTATGGGTAGTCCAGAAAAGAAGTGGGGGGGGGAGAGAGAGAGAGATGATTATTCTCAATTCCATGTTGCAGAATTTGAGATCTGGCCTGATAAGAGCTCAAGGAGAGAAGATTTCCTGTAGAAAATGCAGTAGGGCCACACAATATTGTCACTGGCATTCAGTGTGTGTGGTGTTCAAAGAAGCTTGTGCTTAGAGGTCTCTCAAAAGGCTGGGATCTGTTTGCTGATTAGCAGATTGACTGCATCCCTAAATTTCACTGTACTCCTCTGGTTTTTAACATTCAGAATGCCGGAAATGGCCTCGTCTAACATTGCCGACCACCAAAGGTACAGTATGGCGGGGTGGTGTGCATACATGCGCAGGTATCTGCATATTCGCTTTGTAATGCCATCAAACGCCAAAATGAAACCACCCTCCAGGAGCTTTGGGACGGGCGGAAAGGAAGACTTCACTACAAAAGCCCAGCTTTCTGCTTTGCTCAATTATTCATCCGGCGTTTGCTTTAGATTAGTGCCGTTTGACATCACTGACCTGAGACGGGGGATCCCCGTGGGAGAACCGGAGTGGAAAGCAGGCGAAGAAAGCCTGTTCTGATGTATGGCTCCCGAAATAGCAACATCCACCTGAGAGGCCACCGGCTGCCTCTTTAGGATGATGGACTCAAGGCTCCCCTTGTCTCTTTTCCTCTGCTTTCTGCTCCACTCCTAGCCATGAAGGTCGATGTTGACTTTTCTCCTTGGAAAAGCAATGGGGCTAAAACCAATCCCACTCAGACCAGACCAGTTAAACCAATTGGATTTACACAGGTATGGAAAAGCTACCTTTATGCCCTGTTGTATCCTTGCTCCATCTTGCTCAACACCCGACTGTCAGCTCCTCGGCTTGAACCAGGATCCTTTCTGATGATTCCTGGGATTTGCTGTTTATCCCCCACCTAAGTCCTAACCGAGGCCTGACCTTGCTTCTCCCCTGAAGATAGGTAAGATCAAGTATGTTTGTCTCTCTCACCAGGCTATGTATGTTAAAACCTTGCGTGTGTCCATCTGTAATACATACATACATACAACAGGGTTTTTACACCCGTCTGGGTGACTAGCCACAGGCCAACAATACAGTAACAGAATATAATAAAAGCAAATAGGTCATATGAATACAGCATAGCAGAAAACTCAAGATGCACACACCTGTCTATAGTGAATACTTTTCCCAGCTGTAGGAAGCCAGCACCCATTTGAGTGAGCAGTCTTTGGGGAAAAAAATCACTATTGGATGACAATTGACATCATCTTCCCCCAGGAATTTTGGGAACTGTTGTCTCTGCCACACAGAACCTAGACTGGGTGGGTAAATAGTTTGACCCAGTGCAATGGTTCCCAAGATGTTCTTGGACTACAACTTCGCCACGAGCGGTGCTGGCCAGGATGTCTGGGAGTTGCAGTCCCAGAACATCTGGGGGTCGAAGGGTGGGAACCACTGACCTAGTATAAGGTTGCTCCTCCTGGTTCCATATGGTGATGGCTGTAGGTCAGTGGCTGAGCTTCTGAGTTTCCCGAGGAAGGTGCTCCATTGAGCCTCTGGTATTTCCATTTAGACGGTCGGAGGAATATCTGAAGAGACACAACGACAGGTAGGTGATACCTCCTTGTTCCACCTTGAAAACTGGACAACCGCTGCCAAAGTGGA